TTACTCGTGTCCATATTGGATGCCTGTAATACAGCAGAAGCTTAACTTGCTATGCTACATCAGTCCCTTTTTTTTTTTTTAAGATTTATTTACTTTTATTGCAAAGTCAGATATACAGAGAGGAGGAGAGACAGAGATGAAGATCTTCCATCCAGTGATTCACTTCCCAAGTGGCTGCAACAGCCGGTGCTGTGCCAATCTGAAGCCGGAGCACAGACCCTTCTCCGGGTCTCCTATGCCAGTGCAGGGTCCCAGGGCCTTGGGCCATCCCTGACTGCTTTCCCAGGCCACAAGCAGGGAGCTGGATGGGAAGTGGAGCTGCCAGGATTAAAACCAGTGGCTATATGGGATCCTGGCACATTCAAGGTGAGGACTTTAGCTGCCAGGTCACCGCGTCGGGTCCTACATCAGTCCTTTTTTTAATATATATATAAACAAATTATTTTTATTAGGTGACTACTTCAGTCCTTACATTGACTTGCTTTAAAAATACCAGTTTAAAAACATATTATTGAAAGTGAATACATACAATAAATAGAAAATAGAGATGTATAGTACCAGCAACACATCAACCAACTTTTCTTTATTTGTTGCCTACTGTTCTATATTAGCATTAGCTAAAGAGCAACCAACATACCTGGAAGAAGGTTGCAAACTACTGGAAAAGCAGCTGAAACCTCTGGACCACTCATCCCCCCAAAATTTTTTCACTGTTATATTTGGAGCCAATCTCCTTATAGCACCAAATGATCTTCTATACCCATAATAATTATTTGAAATACCAAAGGTGCCAGGGAGAATCCATTAGCAGTACCTATAAGATAAAGTTTTTACTTACTTGGTGATAACCCCTAAGCTATACGTTAGGTTCCATATAATAAGTTATAAATAATCTGAATTTAATATCTTAAACATGATATGGTTAATATATACATAATGACTGAGTATATCAACTCACTGGTTAAATTTACATATTCAGTTTCTGCTTAGAAGAGATACATCATTCTAGCAATAGTAACATGGTTAAATGCAGAATATGCTGATGTACTTAGTACTCCAAATTACATAATGATTGAAGAAATAATTCCATATACAAGTAGGGTCATACTCTACATGCAAGTTTACAATCAAAGTTAGGTGTACTAAATGCTTTCTGACGTCTGGAAACCAATCACAAAGGCACCTCCCCAGGCTAAAGGTCCAAGCAGGTGACACCAGCTCTCCTTCATGTGTGATGAACTTCATGAAGCACTGGTTCCCGAGGTGTATTTGTTTCTGGACGATGCAGCTTGCATGCTCTTCTTTCAAAGGCAGCAACCATCTGCTTTACAACTTCATTAAACAACAATGTGGCAATGTGAGAGTGTAGGAGTGAGCGAAATTTAAAAAAGATTGAAAAATCCAAGGTACAAGTTCTTGGATACCCAGGAGGGCTGAAACACCAACTAGTCTCCAAATGATTAAAAAGTCTCCCATCAGTATGAGATGCCTTCATCAAATGTGGTTTCACCAAGGTCACAACTGATGTATAATGTTCCAGCACAGGTGGAAATCCAATTTCTAATCATGCTTTACAATATCCAGATCTCCGTGATATTACATCCAATTTTTTGCACCAAGGAACAAAGTACTTGCAATCCTTCATTCCTGACACCACATCATACATTTCCTGCACGGAATAACCTATAATTCTTTGCTCTGAGAATTCTTTCTTTTTGTTTATTAATGGTGCAGTAATTTTGTAGAAAGTTCTTGCATGTAACTCCTCAGGCAGCCCTGAGGCATGCAATGTAAGAGATCTGCTCATCAGTATGCCACAGGAAACCACGTGTCTGACCTTCCGTGCAGGTCCCTGAACCGGAGCCAAGGCACCAGCCACCGTCACTGACTTCAGACAGCATCCCGACACTACTGTGGTCAAGGCTTAGGACCGGCCTGGGCTGCCATGCTACATCAGTCCTTTTAAGAACAGATTCTTTTTTGACAACTCCATTGAGCTTAATATCTCAATTTGTTGTGCCTACTCAGAAAAAAATGTTCTGTTTTTGCTACAGCCCAGTGACAGTGCTCAATCCAGTATCTAGGAGCTCCATCCAGGTCTCACAACTGGAGCCCACAATTAGAAAAGCTGGAGGAGAAAAGCTGAAATTTGGCCTGGTGCAATGGCTCACCGACTAATCATCTACCTCCAAACCCTAGGATTCCACAGAGATGCCAGTTCGTGTCCTGGCTGCTCCACTTCCCATCTAGCTCCCTGCTTATGGTCTGGAAAAGCAGTAGATGATGGCCTAAAACCTTGGGACCCTGCACCTGTTTGGGAGATCTGGAAGAAGCTCCTGGCTCCTGGCTTCAAATCTGCTCAGCTCTGGCCATTGTAGCCATTTGGGAAGTGAACCAGCAGTTGGAAGAACTTTATCTCTCCTTCTCTCTATAAACCAGTCTTTCCAATAATATCTTTAAAAAATAAGTCTTTAAAAAAGAAAAACAGAAAAGCTGGGCTTGCACGTGGGTCCAGACCTGTTATCCAGTTTCTCTAGTTTCTTTCTGTGATTCCATCTCTTCCTGTGAGACTCAGGTTTGCTTTCTGCTACTTCCATGGCCTATAAAAATCTGAAAAATCTCTCAACAATTCATCCTGATTTTCAAACACTTCTTTAAGGACACCTTTAAAAATAGTACGACAAAGGGCCAGTGCTATGGTATAGCAGGTAATCCTCCCCATTTTTGCAATTAGGAGCTTTGTGCCCTCTATAGTTTCATGGGCCAATGTGCCAAGTCCCACGACACATGTGTTTATACCTCTTTATCCCACCGGCTCTGCTTTCCTAGAGAGTGCTGACTGGTACAGGTGAGTATTCTGTTCATGTCCCAGGAATTTTAAATCAAGGTGTTAGTTGAATTGCAGCCTAATCTGGAGACTTAGCAAGACAGGCTTCCACGACCACTCAGCTTGTTGGCAGATGCCATTTCCTTGCAACTGTAGGACTCAGGCCCTTGTCAATTAGTATTCCGAACCCACTGTGAACCCCTAGAGGCTGCTGTCATGGACCCTCCACGCAGCCTCTTTCCAGGCCCTCCCACATTGGACATCTCTGACTCTAGGGAGGATCCAGTGTCTTTCAGAACCTTACCTGATCGGGTCACATACATTCAGGAAAATCTACATTTTTTTAATGAAGTAAAAGTCAACTGATTTGGAATGTACCCACATAAGTGATAATCCTATAATCTAAGATTCTCACCACTCACCAAATAAGAGGCAAGCCAAATAGCACCAAACAGGGAGCAGACCTAACGTGGGTCATATTAGGACTTTGTGTACCACGATATGTCTAACATATTTTGCTAGGTGTTGATGTCAGGGTCTAGGAAGAAGCATTCCTGGGATTGCTAGAATAAATGGAAAACATGCCATTGCTCTCCTTGGGACTAAGAAAGCATTATTGTAGGGGGCAGGGAGAGAATCAATTAACAGGACTATAAATTATCTTGCAGATAGGCAGTCTAAGGAAATCTTTCCTCTGAGCTCAGAAAAGAACTGTATCAGACAAAATGTTGAGAGGTCAAAAACAACAGGCACATGGGACTGGCATTGTGGAGTAGCCTGATAAGCCACTGCTTACCACACTGGCATCCATATTGGAGTGCTAACTTGAGTTCCAAGTGCTCCAGCTCCATTCCAGCTCTCTATTAATGCATCTGAGAAAGCAGCAGCTGATGGCCCAAGTACTTGGGTCTCTGTCATCCCTTTAGAAGACCTGTATAGAGCGTCTGGTTCCTGGCTACAGCCTGATCAGTCTGTGTTGTTACAGTCATTTGGAGAGAGAGAGCCAAAGGATGGAAGATCTATTTGTCTTCCTTTCTGTCCTTCAAATAAACAAATCTTTCTACTTATTTTTTTATTGGAAAGGCATATCATATTAATGGAGAGAAAGAGAAACAGAGAAAGATCTTCTATCTGCAGGTTCACTCCTCAAATTGCAACAGTGGCCAGAACTGAGCCAATCTGAAGCCAGGAGCCAGGAGCTTTGTCTGGGTCTCCCCATGCAGGTGCAGGGTCCTAAAGCTTCAGGCCATCATCTACTGCTTTCCCAGGCCATAAGCAGGGAGCTAGATGGGAAGTGGAGCAGCCAGGACATGAACTGGCATCCCTGTGGAATCCTAGCGTTTGCAAGGTGAGGCTTTAGCCACTGACCCATAGTGTCAGGCCCGAAATGAATTTTTTTTAGAAAAGATTTATTTATTATTATTGGAAAGTCAGATATACGGAGAGAAACATCTTCTGTTCACTGATTCACTCCCCAAGTGGCCACAGTGGCCAGAGCTGAGCTGAGGCAATGCGGGAGCAAGGAGCTTCTTCTAGGTCTCTCATGTGGATTCAGGGTCCCAAAGCTTTGGGTCACCCTCTACTGATTTTCCAGGCCACAAGCAGGGACCTGGATGGGAAGTGAAACAGCTGGCATAAAAACCAGCATCCATATGGGATCCTGGCAGATGCAAACCAGAATTTAGCCACTAGGCTTTTGCCAGGCCCCTGGCAAAATACATTAAGAATAAATAAATAAAAACAGACACAACCATGGCAGACTGACAGATAACTAGTTGCTTATTTGTGTCACTGTTTGAATAGTTCATTGTTCAGCGAACGCCGTGAACGTGTGAATTCTGCATATGGGGAAATGACTGGATCCAACTGTGATTATTCTACTGAAATTCTTTTCTCCCTTAGACCTAGGCTCTCATCGAGGTGGAGTGTGCTCGCTTACCTTGCTGCTTCATGTTTTCTCACTGTCTTCATACTATAAAAGAAACGAATTATCCTGCATTTTCAAGACTAACGTCCTGTGGCCAGACTCCTCCCATACTCCCTCCAATCATTAGGCACTGCGACTCAGCTGACCGCACCGACTTATTCAGGGAAAAACCAAACACACATAACTCCAGATTCTGTCAACGATCTTTCCAGCAGTGGGGGCATCAGGTACAGCCCCCTGTCAGCCATGTGTAACATCACGCCGCCCCTTCGCGCCCATCAAAACCCGGACTGTTCAGTGACTGACCACCACCGTCAGCCCCGCCTCCCGATCGCGTCCCAGAAGCCCCCTCGGCTCCGCTGTACGGCTGGCCTTCTTCAAAATGGCCGCGCCCAGGAGGCGATTACTAACGGGTACCGCCATTGCTGCTGCGGGACCCTCTGCGGTCGCGCCCTGGGTGTTCGCCATGTCTGCCTATGTTGCGACCAGCTCCTGACAAAGCCCAAGACAGTGGACCTGAGGAGAAATACGGGAATGGTCGAAGAGGCCCGGCGTCCGAAAGAGATGGCTGAGACCGAGCCCGGGGACAGCGATGTTGTAAGGATGATGATGGCGCGGGACTATTCTGGCATTCAGCAAAGGTTTTAATTGGGGTTAATGATTAGAGTTAATGATTAGAGTCTGTGGAAGAACGACCTAGAAAACGGGTGGGGGGCGTCGCTGCTAAGGAGAGAATGTCTCTCGGAGAGTCGGTGTTCGGGGAGATCTGTGGGATCGGGGATTGGTGAAGCTGTAGGAAATCGGGGCTTTAAAGAACCTACCGAGACAGTGATGTAGTGATGAGAGTTTGGAAGGCTGTGGGGGAGAAATGGAGGCTTTTGAGAAGCGACTTGAGTGTCTGTAGGGGAGCGCAACGTCTGATGTCTTTGGCGATTAGTGGATTGTTAAAGAGGGGCTGTGCTGGAATTGAGAGTTCTCAGACTGAGAGTTTGAGTGGGGATCAGCAGATTGAGACATGGGGTTCGGTGGTAGTGATGTTTGTGGAAGTGCCCTTAGCAGTGTCGTTGAAAGTCAACATTAGTGTGTTATTCTGGGCACTCGGGGACTCTGGAGGCCAGTGGAGTGTGGAGCAGAGTTATAGTGTTTCTGGGGATGGTGGATAATTTTGTCATCATAGGAGAAGAGGTGATTAGTGGTTGCTGTAGATTGATGATGATGTGGTGTCCAGGAGTCCTGTGTTTTCAGTGATTAGGTGATTAATAGAGATTAATGATGAAGGATCCACTATGATTTCTTGATTCGGAGCCCGAGGAAATCAGGACTTGGGGGAGATTACAGGGGTTGGTGACAGGGTTCTGTAGGGATCCGTGATTGGAAGTCTGTGGAGAATGGTAATCAGGAAATTGTTAGAGTTCTGTAATTGAGGGAAGTTTGCAAAAGTTACTGACTGAGGAATGTTTGGGTATCAGTGATTGTAAGTCTATAGAACCTGATAGTAAGATGAGTAGCTGTTCTATGCCAGAAGGTGTTTTTTTAAGAACTAAGGGCATACCAGAAATCAGGGTCAGAGTCAATTCCTCAATGTCTTTATACTTTAGCAATAGGAAAAAAAAATAAATAAATAAGACAATTCTGGGCACCAATATGTGCTTTTGGAGAAAGTAATAAATATAGTAGAGAGTGACTTAGGGTAGGCAAAGAAATTTAGTCATGGAAAGATCTTAATAGTAAAGTGGCAGTGGAGTTGAGGCATACACAATGATAGGGAGGTAATCATACAGAGATCTGAAGACAGAGTGTGCCAGGAAGAAGGAAATCAATTGTATAAGTCCAGAAGTGGGAGTGAACTATACCCTTTTAAAAAGGGGTGTGGGCATTTAGCCTCATGGTGAAGATGCACCCGTTCCATGTTGTAGTGTCTGAGTTCAGTGTCCGGCTCTGACTCCTCACTCCAGCTTGTTGCTAACGCAGCTTCTTGGAGGTGGCAGTGATTGGGTGTCTCAAGTGATTGGGTTCCTGCTAATTGTGGAGGAGACTTGGATTGGGTTCAGGCTCACAGCCTCAGTCTGTTCCCTCCCTGGCTGGCTGATGCAGGCATTTGGGAAATATGTCAGTAGATGGGAATGTCTCTCCCCCTTTCTCCCCTAATTTTTTTCCACTCCCTTTAAATAATTTTTAACATTCCCCCTGTAAAGAGGATCGGTGTGATTAGAGAATAAAGGAAAAGAAGAATGTGAAATCAGAGTGATGAAAAGGGATCAAAGCATGCAGAATCTCATTGGTTAAGATACGGATTTGGATTTTATTCTACTTGCAGTGAGAAACCTTTGAGTTTAAGCTAGGGAGTGACTGGTCTGATTGATGCTTGTAAAGATCACCCTGACTACTCTATGGAAGATAGACTACAAAGGCACAAGGTCCAGGGAGGTGAGTTAGGGGTTTATAGCAATAACTGAAGGGAATAGACGATGATTTATGAAAGGGTTGTAGCAGTAAAATAAAACAAAATCAATTTCAGAATACATTGAAGGTAAATCAACAGCAGCAAGATTTTTATTTAGACTTTTGACCTGAGGACCCAGTTGGATAGTGTTCTTCTTCATCTTCCTGCAAAATTCCGTGCAGTCAGCCATCCAGAAGCTCTCTGAACCCTGTCTTCCTGGTTATGGAGGTTTCATGGCATAGGAGGACAGAAGCATGAACAGTGATGTAGAAATATGATTAGACAAAAGGGATATGATATGACCTAATGGAAGTAAATGGAATGAGTAAATCCTACGTGGTATTAAGGTACAAATTTTTTGGTTTTCTTCTTTTTTTCTTTGTAAGATTTATTATTTTTGGGCCTGGTACAGTGGCCTAGTGGCTAAAGTCCTTGCCTTACACACGCTGGGATCCCATATGGTTGCTGGTTCTAATCCTGGCAGCTCCACTTCCCATCCAGCTTGCTGCTTGTGGCCTGGGAAAGCAGTTGAGGACAGCCCAAAGCCTTGGGACCCTGCATTCGCATAGGAGACCCAGAGGAGGATCTGTGCTCCTGGCTTCGGATTGGTGCAGCACCGGCAATGGCGGTCACTTGGGTGTGAATAATTGGACAGAGGATCTTCATCTCTGTCTCTCCTCCTTTCTATATATCTGACTTTGCAATAAAAAAATTTTTTTAAAAGATTTATTTGTTTTTATTGGAAATTCAGATTTACAGAGAGAAAGATCTTCCATCTCCTGGTTCACTCAAAATGGCCACAATGGTTGGAGCTAAGCCAATTTGAAGTCAGGAATCAAGTGTTTCTTTTGGGTCTCCCATGCAGGTACAGGTCCCAAGACTTTGGGTTACCCTCCTTTGCTTCCCAGGCCATAAGCAGAGAACTGCAGGGAGAGCAGAGCAGCAAGAACATGAGCCAGTGCCCATAAGGAACGCCAGCACTTGCAGGCAGAGGATTAGCCAGGTGAGCTGGCACCCATTTTTTGGTTTTCACCCATGACTACTGACTCATGATTCTTTCCCCATGATGGGCTGTAGAAAATAGAATTTGTCTTTCTCAAGTCAGTTCATACAGACAAAGCTTCCTCCCCTTTCTGTCTTGGGCCTGCCATACAGAAAATATCTGATGGTGACAAGCCAAATGTGTCAGAAGGGGTCCTGCTGCATACTTGGAAGGTAGAAATGCCAGTTAGGCCACAAAGAACATGAATATGCAGGCCTTGCTGGGTCTTCCCATCCAGTCTACGAACATTGGATCATATTTTTATTGTCCATTTGCAATTCTATACAACTGCCATGTTTCAGCCATGCCTAAGCCCTATAAAAATCCCAATGGGTAGGGTTCAGAACACCTGAGCATGAGGAGGTTGCTGGAAGGTGGCACAAGAGGAGGCATGGAAGCTCCATACCCTTTCTCCTATATCTCACTCAGTGCGTTTCTTCCTCTTCATATCCTATACCATCAATCAGTAAAACAGTCTATGAGCCACTCAGACAAATTAATCAAACCTGATGAGAGGATTGCGGGAAAAACTATTTATAGCTTGTTAATCATAAGTAAAACAAGCTGGGAGGTACTATTGGCTTCCAACGAGAGAGGTGCAATCCTGGAGTGTGAGCCTTCAACCTTGTGGGGGAGTCTAATGATATCTTCAGGTAGATTGTGTTAGCACTAGGTAGAATTAGAGGATGCTCAGTTGGGGCCTGCTACCTGCAGCATTGCCTGATGCTTGCTGGGGTTTTTTGCTCTATATCAGAACAAAAAACCCAAACACATTGGATGCTGGAAGTGCTCTCTGTGTTGTGATTTTGGAGTGGAAGAAACAGATTGAGTTGATTTCCCTTTCTACATATGTGTGCTCGGCAAGGCTCTCCATCCAGTTTCTCCTTGTTCTCTCTCTGTAGCACATTTCCCCCTGGGAAATAGGGGTATTATCTATTATCAAACAAAGTAAGCCAGAGAATTTCTCTTCATGGCTAGTTTCTCTTGGAAAGGTGGAGGAGGAAAAATTTCTAATTTCTACGGTCTACCTTAGGGCTAAAAAGAGCAAGGGCCCATGGGCAGAAACTGCCCTGTGCAAAAATACATATCACAGTATACTTTCTGCAGTTTCACATACCTAAAATGTCTTTTTTTTTTAACTTCCAAACATAAATGATTTGAAGAACTTACTATCAAAATTAAGGCTTTTAATTCTACCTCTGAACTCTGTAAATACTGCTCCACAGCCTTGTAGCATCCATTGATTATCACAAAAGTGAAGATTTAATCTATTTGCTTCTTTGGGGGTGGGGGTTGTTGTCTTTCTATTTTATATTTGTATGATTTTATCCTCTTGAATAACCAAATCCACATTAGGGACAGTCCCTAATATGGATTATTTCTTTAAAACATGCAAAGTTCAATACAGTATAAGCATCATGACCAATAGTGAATGATCGATGTAAGAACAAATCATTACTTTGTCTGAAACATCCGCTGAAAGTGGAAAACATTAGACTAAACAGGAGTTTTTTTGTTCTAGGGATCAGTAACATTCAAAGATGTCACCATGGCCTTTAGTCAGAAAGAATGGGAGCAGCTGAATCCTGCACAGAAGAACCTGTACAAGGATGTAATGCTGGAGAACTATAGCAACTTAACTTCAATGGGTGAGGACAACTACTTCATAATTTAAAATATGTCCACTATTATACCTCATCTCTGAAGTCCCGAAAGTCTGGCCTTGATTTCATGAATTAAAGGCATTTAACCTTTTTCGTACCTCCAAAATATAAGACCTATTCTGTTGAGGCATCCACATTGTGAAACGTTAAAAGAGATGTACAGTTAAGCCTTTTAAGACCCTGTAATACAAGCCTTGGGGCTTGATTCTCAGGGTGATTATTCTAACACCCAATTTCTACTATTTTTCTTAAACAGGGTGTCAAACTTCCAAACCAGAGATGATCTCCAAGTTGGAAAAAGGAGAAGAGCCATGTTTAGGAAGGAGGAAAAGACCCAGTCAAAATCGCCTGAGTAAAATAGCAAGATCCAAGAAAATAAAAGCAGACAGAAGTAAGTTCCTAGTTTCTTGATGGTACCTTAGGGATTTTTCAAAGGATAATCTACTGTTAAATTCTTCTTAACCAATGCAAGCCCTTCTTCCTTAGCCAGAAAGTAGGAGTGAAGATAATCAGGGTCTCCTATGAGAAAGATTCTCTAGTCTTGGAGAGGAGATTACAATCTTTCTTCTTTATCTGAGCCTGTCAACACTGGGGGTTCTCATGTGAGATTCATTACAGAAGAGAGCCAGTGTTTATGAGAGTTTGGCTAAACTGTTGTATCTACCAGCATAGACTAAGTTTTGCTCCATTAAGGAATTACTCTAACATCGTAGTGTCTTATGACAAGAAAGACATATTTCTTGCTTGATCTGTGTCTCTGTTCCACATTATCTTCATCTGGGGACCCACACTGAAACAGTGTTCCTTATCTAGAAGATTCTAGTCTGATAGCAAAGGAAAAAGAGGGTGATTAGAACTCATGAATAACTTAGAAGTTGTATATACCCTCTCAGTTCAAACTTTATTAATAAGAGCAAATCACATGTCCAGTATTTTAGGGTCTCGTACATATACACACAGACATACAGAGTTCCCATCTTCTATTTCAGTCCTCAAACGCCTGCGATGGTTGAGACTGGGTGGAGGTCACAGTCACAAGCTGGGAACTCAATCCAGGTGCCTCGTGTGAGGAACAGAAACTCAATTACTTGAAATATCTCTTGCCTTTTAGGATCTGCACTGGCAAGAGGCTAAAGTCATGAGCTAGAGCTGGGAATTGAACTCAGACCCTAGATATAGGCATCTTAAATGCTAAGCTAAATATCCTTTGTTTTCCCTAGAAAGAAAATTTCCACAATCCTTCTTTGGGTATTAGAAAACCCAGCTTTGTCATGCTGTCTAGCAGGTCCTACTATGCTCCTTCTCCAAGGGTGCTGCATCACTTAAATTTTTCCAAATGAAGAAGCATCCAGCAACTCTACTTGTTTAGGCTTCCTGCTATAACCATGCTTCTTTTTTTTTGAAAGGCAGAATTATAAAGAGAAGGAAAAAAGAGAGAGAAAGATTCCATTTGGGGTTTCGCTCCATAACTGGTCACACAGCCAGAGCTCAGACAGCCCAAAACTAGGAGCCAAAAACTTCTTCCAGATCTCTTATGTAGGTGAAGGGCTCAAGGACTTGGACTATTCTCTTTTGCTTTCCTAGGCCATCATCTGGATCAGAAGTGGAGCAGCCAGAACAATAACCAGTATCCATATGGAATGCCAGCTCCATTGGCTGAGGCTTAGTCTACTGTACCATGCACTGGCCCCCATACTTCTAAAAATTGACCTTTTACTACATGAGAACTGATCTCTTCACTATCCTGCATAAAATACTATTTTTTGGCTCTCTGTTCAAATGTCATAATTTAGTTTCTCCATGTAATGCTCTTTTGCCTCATTCTTTGTCTTTCTTTATGGGGTCATTGGGAATTCTAGATCTGTTTCTCTCTTTGCATCTTTTAGAATCTCATGATGAAGTTTTTTTTTCCTGTTTCTCCATCCTTGTAAATGAGCCAGGCTCCCACCAACTGGCAGACTTAACTCTTAAAATTCATGGATTTGTACACATGTAGTATCCATACATATCTTTTAAAAAAGTCTTTTGAATTTCACTTTAAATTCTTAGGGGAAATAATACTGGACTAGTTGTGGCCTTGTGTTTGTCACTGTTCAATCGATTGTTCAGATCATATGGTTCAAATATGGCTGCCTACACTGGTCAGTGTGGATGGTGTCTCAGAAAAGGGAAATTGGTTGTGAGAAAACATTTCAAAATTGTGTTATGTGTAGAGGAAAGAGTGAGAAACTAGGGATAAGCTTAAAATTTATTATTGACAATTGGAATGACCCAATAAAAATAAAGTTATATTCCCATAGCAAACTGTTGGAAATTAAAGGATATGCATGTACTGTAAATGCAGAGATTGTTTGTGAAGCTAATTACAATGCATTTTATCACTTGTTACAAGTATCAGGGAACATAAAGAAACTTTTTTTTAAACTAAAGGTATATCATTTTGATGTTGATCATGGGTGGTAGCAGTGATATACCCTTTCCTGGTGATTCCTACAGTCACCTATTAGCTCTTCTATATATCTATCCCAGCTCTTTTACATACAATAGTAAAAGTTCACTTTAACCTAAGTAAATAAGAGGAACTTATGGTAAGGACTTGTGTGTATTTTATAACCAAAGAGTATAGATTTTAACCAGACTTCATCACTGACTAGGACAAGAAATTAGGAAGCCATTAGAATTGAAATTATGTAAGTAGATTCTTCTCTCTCTGTATATGCTTCAATGTTAATATTAGTGAGCTTTCTGTTTGCACAAAGAAGTAAGACTTCATCAGTACCAGCCTTATATCATCTTTGAATATAAGCACAAAGAGATTAGCTAGAACCTAAATTTTTAGGATGAAGAATCTTATTGAACATCATACTTTGAGCTAGAGTAACATAGCACAGTTGGAGCCAGTTGTATAGGTCAAAAGTTACCAGAGTGGAACAGGCAGGGATAAAGGGAGAACTCGAAAAGTGTCAGATACAATCATAAGGCCTTTTGACTTCACCCATTTCCTATTCACTGACATTTGTGTTTCATTTTCTATCCTAGATGGAAAGGTCATATAAAAGCTGTTTCTAATTGCTGTTGTCAATTTTCCTTTACTTGTTTTACTACATTTTACCCCCTGCCTTCACCAAGTCCAAAAATATAAGGGACATTTGTCCTTGATGTATATTTTACTTTGGGATACTATGATTGAATAAAGATTCAACCTTGAGGCTGGACATAGTATACTAAGCTTCTGCCTGTGGTGCTAGCATCGTATATGGACACATTTGTGTCCTGGCTGCCTAGTTCTGGTCTAGCTCCCCACTATGGCCTTGGAAAGCAGCAGAAGATGGCTCTAGTCCTTAGACTCCTGCTCCCATTGGGAGACCTGGAGGAAGTTCCTGGCTCCTGGCTCCTAACCTTGGATCAGGCCAGCTCTGGCATTGCAGCCATTTGGGAAGGGAACCAGCGGATAAAAACTATCTTTTTCTGTATCTCTTATTCTCTCTGTAACTCTGCCTTTCAAAATAAAAACAAAAATGATCTTTAAAAAAGATTCAACCACTTAACAGGGTTTTTCTTTCTTAGTTTTATTCCAAAATACGAGCACAAAAATGAATTAAATGTTTCATTTTAGAAGAAGTCCAGCAAGATGATAATCAGCTAGAAGATAACCAGGAATCTCATAACAAAGTCAATGGAGAAGTTGCATGGAAAAAGAAAACCCTGCAAAAAAACCCCAATGAATGTGGTTCACTGACGGAAATAAAGAACACGAGCACAAAACTTCTTCCTTCAAAAAAGAGGTTGCATAAGCTTGATTCACATGAAAAAAGTTCAAAACAGAATTTAGACCTACCTGGTCATATAATAAAGTATACAAAAAAGAAACCTGTTGTGGCCAAAGAACACAAGAAATCATTCAACAATAGCATATGTGATACAAAGAAAAACAAAAATCAGCCTAGAAAGAAACATGAGAAAGTACTCAATGATGACCCATCTGAAAAATGTGACAAGCCTGAACCTAGTAAGAAACATGAGAAATTAAGCAGTCGTAGTTCATCCCATTCTAAGCGAGACAAAATTCATGCTGGAAAGAAACATGAGAAGCTATCCAGCTTTAGTCTACCTGCCAAGCATGACAAAACTGACACTCCAGTGAAGCCCTATGAATGTGACCAGTGTGGAAAGGTTCTCAGTCATAAACAAGGACTCACTGATCACCAGAGAATTCACACTGGAGAGAAACCATACGAATGTGATGAATGCGGTATTGCCTTTAGCCAAAAATCACACCTTGTTGTACATCAGAGAACACACACTGGAGAAAAACCATATGAGTGTACTCAGTGTGGCAAAGCCCATGGTCATAAACATGCACTAACTGACCACCTGAGGATCCACACAGGAGAGAAGCCCTATGAGTGCACTGAGTGTGGGAAAACCTTCAGACATAGTTCAAACCTCATCCAACATGCGAGATCTCACACAGGTGAGAAACCCTATGAATGTAAGGAATGTGGGAAATCCTTCAGGTATAACTCCTCTCTTACTGAACATGTGAGAACTCACACAGGTGAAATACCATATGAATGCAGTGAATGTGGAAAGGCCTTTAAGTATAGTTCATCCCTTACAAAGCACATGAGAATCCATACAGGTGAGAAACCACATGAATGCAGTGAATGTGGCAAAGCTTTCAGCAAGAAGTCACACTTAATCATACATCAAAGAACTCATACCAAGGAGAAGCCTTACAAATGTGATGAATGTGGAAAAGCCTTTGGACATAGCTCATCTCTCACTTACCATATGAGAACACATACAGGTGAAAGTCCCTTTGAATGCAATCAATGTGGGAAAGCCTTTAAGCAAATCGAAGGCCTTACTCAGCATCAGCGAGTTCATACTGGGGAGAAGCCCTACGAGTGTACTGAGTGTGGGAAGGCCTTCAGCCAGAAGTCACACCTCATTGTACACCAGAGAACTCACACTGGGGAGAAACCCTTTGAGTGTAATGAATGTGGAAAAGCCTTCAGTGCAAAGGCACAACTCGTTATACATCAGAGATCTCACACTGGGGAGAAGCCCTATGAATGTAATGAGTGTGGGAAATCCTTCAAACAAAGTGCATCACTTACCAAACATGTGAAAACTCATTTGGGAGAGAAATCACCTGAGTGACATTGATATAATAAAACTGTTAGAGCTGATGGTTTTGTTTAACCTTAAACATAATCTGAATGTCAAAAGCATTAGAAAGTCTTTGAAAAAAATCAGATCATCTGTTACATTTGAATATGGATATTTCTGCAAGAGCAATGAATGGAAATACCAACCCTTTCATAGAAAATAATTTCTAAAATACTTAAAATGATTTATATATTGCAATTGTCCATAAATCTTTAAAAATTATGACTGAGTAATCACAGCAATGATGAAGCAAATTACACATTCTTTAGTTGCTTGGATGTTGTGTACTTAAACACAATGTTTTGGAATTGAATTTGTGTGTCTATTGCCTTGAATAAGTGGCTATAGCCATTTATCTAAGTCCTGTCTTTCACATTATCACCCAGCTCTTTCTTAGTATCTATATTACCTCCTGCATTAGCAGAAAACATTATGAAAATATTATTTATGTAGAAATATTGACGTGAAATTGAAAGAAAATTCAACAGAGTTGAAGATGCAAATGTGCTAAAAGAGAATGATGTTCAAGATGTATTAAGCGTGAAAAAGCTGACTGCTGAATTGTGTATACAGTGTGTTTCCATTTGTGTACAAAAGGATGTGTGTATTTGTCTTTCATTCAATACTTCAAAAGTTGGTAGAATATGAAATTCAAAGATATATTTATTTTAGCACAAAGGTTTTCAAAATGTGTGGTGCTCATTTGTATATGAGTAGATTTTGAAAAAGTACAAGAGAAACTTAGTGGTGTTTTTTGTTGAGGACAAGATGGGAGTCTAGGAATTTAAACACTCGTGCACATGTATTAGCTTCACAACTGAAACTACTTTGTAATATTAATAAATTCAATACTATTCAGTGTTGTCACTGAGCCCGCTCCACAATGTTGTTTGACAAAGTAAAAGGTAAAAGGGTTTCTATGCTTATTTCATGCTTGTTAATGATATGGTGAATTGCAGCTATGTGATATTAAACTTCATATTTCATTTACCAAGACTCTTTTATCAAACACTTTTTTTCATTCACACCATGTGTTCCAACTATGATATATGTTTCTATTTCCCATTTTTAAAGATTAAAGATGAATTATGATTGGAGGTGAGTGAAAGTGATGATATTCTGAACAGTTCATTTTATCTTATATCCAAAGGACTAGGGTAAAACACCTTAATCAGAGATTTCAAATATATTGCAACAAGTGAACACCACTTTTTATTTTTGCTATGAGTAGCCTACATTGCTAACGAATCTGGATTCTTTTTGAGTGAACCATAGTTGGTCACACATTCTTCAGCATGAATTCCAGAAGATGCTATGAATCAATTTACATTTGCACATGAAAACTGTTTGCATTGTTTATCTGGATTTTGTTTCTGTCCCTGAATCACAGACAAGAAGTATACGTGACTGTTTTAAAATGTCCATTACTCCGCAAAGAGAGACATAAGTACAAAGATGGTTTTGCTTATTTTGTCATCTGGCATGTATGTTTCCTTTTCTATTTTTCACAGCACATTTACTACATGTTCTTATTTATTCTTCAATAGAAATATATGGCTTCATCATGAGGACTTGCTGAGTCTTGTTCAGTTCTGCTCAATAAACATTTTTCCTAGATGGTAATTTACTATAATGATGAACCCTAAGCAACTGTGCAATACACAACATCTTTACAAATGTTTCCCTCTCAAGTTCCTACCTTCCTGACTTCCTCATTTCAGAGAATTGTAGAGTAAATATTGGGGATGGCATGTGTGTATGTACACATGAATGTACTTGTGTTTTGAAAAAATCAGCTCATGGACATCATAGAAGAGGTGACATACTTGCCAACAGCATATTAGAAAGGCTTCTTCAGGCTTGCATGAAGAATTTGTCCAAACACAGAGTGTAGGAGTTTTATTTCTGAGCCCAATCACACACCCACTGAATCAGACACCCTGTGGGTGGCATTTCAACATTTGCATTTTTTTTAATTGTGGAAGTTTTTAAAAAATTTATTTTTATTGAAAAGTTATAGTTACAGAAAGATGGGGAAACAGAATGATCTGCTGGTTCACTCCCAAAGTGGCTGCAATGGCTGTAGCTGAGCCAGTCTGAAGCCAGGAGCAAGGAGCTTCTTCCGAATATCCCATGTGGTCCCAGGGCGCAAGGTCCCAAGGCTTTAGGCCACCCTCAACTTCTTTCCCAGGCCACAAGCAGGGAGCTGGAAGGGAAGTGGAGTAGCTGGAACAACACGACCAGTGCCCATATGGGATCCTGGTACATGCAAGGCAAGGACTTTAGCCACTAGGCTATCCTGCCACGCCCCAACTGTATTTTTAATAAGGTTCTCTGGTAATACTAATATTGCTGACCCAAGAAACCAGACTCGTGAAAATCACTGCTCTACATCACTATTAGTTTAAATTTAATAAATTATCATCAAATTATTTTGATTGTTTTAGTATAAATGGAATGTATATTCATAGTGTAAATATTAACAGATGTGAAATACATTTTTCCCCAAGTGACATGATCGTATATATATATATATTCCAGGCACTAATGTAAGTGTTAGAGATAGAAAGTAGTCAGCAAGAAGGAAAAAATCCTGCTCTTACACCCATATCTTAGTGACCAAAAGGTATTAGAGAATTTACAAGGCAGGCAGGTTAAGTAAAAAGAATTGAAACTTGAAGTAAGGGAATGGCAAGTTATATCACATTTTTATGGCTTTGGCCTGAGGAAAGGTTGAAGCTGCAATGAAAGACAGGCAGCATTTGATAGGGACATGCACCCTTTTAAACATGGCAAACCACAGGATGGAGTTCAGGGCGATCACAGCCACCAGGGAGTTGGTGATAGGGAGATCAAGAATCCCAGAAAGGAGAGACCCAAAGAGTGGGCCTCTTGGTGGCGCGGGGAGGTGGGGAGTGATATTTGACCTCACAGTGAAGAGAACAGCCGTGATGCTCACATCTCACATTGGAGTTTGACTCCCAGCTCTGATTCCTGATTCTAGCTTTTTGCAACTAAGAATTTTGGGAGGTAGCCAATCTTGGCTTAAGGCCTTGGGTTCCTCCCAGCCAGGGAGGAATCTTGAATTGAGTTTCCAGCTCACAGCTTCAGCCTCCTAGCCACAGAGAGCATTTGGAAAGTGAGTCAACAGATGAAAGCTAGCTCCCCTCATTTGCTCTCTCCTCTAACTCTTCCCCTCCCTCCTGTCCTCTCAATACTTTTAAAGAGATCAGCACCCTAGTGTAGTAGGTTGCAGCACTGGCAACCCATATGGATTCCAGTTTGGCTCCACTGCTCCACTTCTGAACCAACTCCCTGCTTATATGTGCTTAGAAGAGTGGCAGAGGATGGCTCAAGTCTTTGGTTCCCTGTACCCAAGTGGCAGACCCAGAGGAAGCTCCAGGCTCCTAGATTCAGATCAGTTCAGCTCTAGCTATTGCATACATTAAAAGAGTGAAACAGTGAATGAAGGACCTCTCTGTCTCTCCTCTCTGCAATTCTGTCTTTCGAATTGACACAAAAATGTTAGAGAAGCATAAAATAATTTTTAAAATAAGAGTGGGTAACTGAAATTCTGTGCATAGAATCTGCTCAAGTCTCTGGCTGGCATGTAATTGTACATGCATAGCACAAGCTAAGCACAGAAGAGCTAAACTTTCATGTATGCTATTGCCCCAGAGACCATCTGAAGTTCTAGTTTACAGAAGTTAATTGATTAATTTTTAAAAAGGATTAATGTTCTCCAGAAACCTATAACAACCAGAACCTCCACAACTGATCATTCCTGACATCTAGAATGTAGTAAAAAGGAAAAAAAAAAAGAGATTTAGTATTCAAATAATAAAATGTGACTTCAATTAAAGAAAACAACTAACCTAGACACTTAAAATGAGCAGGGTCTTAATAGGGAACTTCTTTCTTCTTCATCATTCCTACAGCTCCCATGTCTGTTGACCACAGAAACAGGATTTTAGGCCCTTTTCGGACAGGAGTTGCTGGTCTTACAAGACCATTTACAATACAGTCAGGCAAGGGGTACTTGGTGGATCATTGCAGGCCACATAATTTGCTCCCTTCCCTCATTGTGTGAGCTTTCCATTGATACCTGTGTCATCTGCCTCTATGAAGACAGTGACTCCTTTTCCATTTTTGTACCAAGGCTGGACTTGCAGATGTCAATGCAGCGGATATGTCCAGGGGTATGGGATAGACACTAAGGATTCTGAGCTACAGAATGAAGGGATCTCATTGATTGCCATTTATATATTTGTGCCCTGGAGCTGTCTAGAAAAACAGGCCCCTCTTGTGCACAGAAATCCATAAAGTGAAAATTAGAGCCAATACCTGTGGCTCCATTTGTCAAAATTATAGAAGGACCAGACTTCCATTTTTATGAGCTAGTATGTGTACCAGGTCTATGAGGAATTCTGCTCAGTTTCTCCAGCTGATAATTTCAGATTGGATTTATGTGGACAGCTATAGCTGGGATAGAGGTTGAAAACCACAGAACCCACACACCTCCCATGCACAAAGGAGAAAAGAAAACCCAAAGTGACACTGCCAAACTTCACCTGTGCCTGTGCAACGCAAGGCAGCTCTTTTCCTGCCAGTAGGGGGCAACCCTGCACTTTCTCATCATGGTAAAGAGTCAATTCTCTCAGCCAAGCACAGGGAGGCGGCTCACTTCTAAGTTCAAGTGCATTCCAAGCTGTTGAAGCAAACTTCCTTTTTCACCTGCAGATGAGCTGGAACAAATCCAAGCATGAACAGTTAGAGGCCTCTGGGAAGCTGCTGTTCTGTCCTCATGTAGGAGATGGCTTAGACCAACACCAATGGTCCTGTGTTTTAATGCTTATTTTGTTGGATTTGTCAACAAATGTCTCTTTCAATTTTGAGTTGGTTAAATTAAAAATTTGATGAATAAAAATTCCTTTCAGGCCATGCAATTGGATGAGCTACACTACTTGCCGCTGAATGTTGAGTCACTGAATATCTTACAACTCGGTGTTTTTTTTTTTTTTAACAACTTGGTTTTTTTTTAACAGCTCAGTTTTTCCTTGCACAAAACTGACTACATGTCTGTTTTATAGTAAACAAAATGTAGATTTCAGGTTTACAACTAATGTATTTGAACAAACTGCAATGTTCTTCAAAGCATGTGTTTCATACAAATCCATTCTTTGTAATAATTTTAAAGCCACTTCAGTTTCTTTTGCATTCTAAATGAACCCAGTTTTGTCACCACAACAAGTTGATTCTCAACACTATAGCTAATATATTTCCACATATCTTATTTATCTCTATAAATCTTTTTCTCTGGCTGCTTCTCCCTTGGCTAACATGATCTCCTGCCTGCAGATTGCAGTAGCTTCCTGGGCCATCTCAGCACCTTCTCCCTTGTTCCCACTGGGTGCCCATTGCCACCTGCTCTCCAAGTGCTGCCAGATGAGTGACACACCTCTGGTGTTACTCTTGTGTTTTTAAAACGTCCTAGCTGCTTCCCATCATTGTAAAGACCCAAGCCCTCAACAGCACCCTCAGAGATCAGTACCTTCTGGCCTGTTCCCTTCTGCACGGTGGCCTCTCAAAGGACATGTTGAAGCCCAAATGCCTAGCATCTAACACTGTGACTGTATATGGAGATAAGGTCCTTGAAGATATTTAGGGTTATAAGAAGGTTGAGGGTGGGCCTTACAAGAAAAGATTAGGACCCAGACACGCATAGAAGGAAGACTACAGGGAGAAGATGGCCATTTCATCCCTGGGAGAGAGACTGGATGGGGAAATCAACCCATGGACACCTGGATCTTGGGCTTTGAAGATCTGAGAAATCCTTGAAACTGTGTAAATGGGAGCTTCTTTTGTTTAACTTTCCCAGTCTGTGGGGCTTCAATATGACCATCCCAGCAAGCTGATAACCCCTAGCTCACTTTATTAGCCCTTCCCCCACTGTGTACCAGCAATACAGGCTTTCTCTAGTTCCTGACCATTTCACACTCATATTAACTGTGAGACCTTTGTGCCTACATTCTTGCCTCTTTCTGGAAAGCTCTTTGCCCATTTTTCTTCATCTGATTAATTCTTGTTCTTCCGTTTTCTCTTGGATTACTTCCTCACTTGTTCATGCAACCCATATTCCCTCAACTTTTTAAAAAATTTTTAGAGTTTTATTATTTTTTTATTGGAATGGCGGATATACAGAGAGGAGAGACAGAGAGGAAGATCTTCCATCCGATGATTCACTCCCCAAGTGAGCGCAACGGCCGATACTATGCCGATCCAAAGCCAGGAGCCTCTTCCAGGTCTCCAACACGGGTGCAGGGTCCCAAAGCTTTGGGCCGTCCTCAACTGCTTTCCCAGGCCACAGGCAGGGAGCTGGTTGGGAGGCAGGGCTGCCGGGACTAGAACCGGCACCCATATGGGATCCCAGGTGTGCAAGGCGAGGACCTTTAACCACTTGCGCCACCACGCCGGGCCCTCAACTAACATTTATGTAG